TGCCAGCCAGCCCCAGTGCCCATGCCATGTGCTATGCTGTGCTATGCGTTACCCATGCCCAAAACAGTGCCCAGTGCCCACAGCCAAACCCATGCCATGTGCTATGCTGGGGTGGTGGAGAGGTGGGTGGTGGGAGCAGGGGGCAGGAGGTGGGGTAGGGGTGGGTGGTGGGGTAGGGTGGGTGGTGGGGCAGGTGGGCAGGGGTGTGGGGTGTGGGTGGGCAGGGGTAGGGTGGGTGGGGTGGGGGTGGGGTAGGTGGGTGGGGGTAGGTGGGAAGGTGGGGGCTGTGGGGTGGGGTGGGGGTAGGTGGGTGGGTGGGAGTAGGTGAGTGGGGTAGGTGGGTAGGGGTAGGGGTGGGGGTGGGTGGTGGGGTAGGTGAAAGGTGTGTGGGAAGGTGTGGGTGGAAGGTGGGGTAGGGGTGGGGAAGTAGGTGGGTGGTGGGGTAGGTGGGAAGGTGAGGTAGGTGGGAAGGTGGGGGTGGTGGGGTAGGTGGGTGGTGGGGTAGGTGGGGTGGGTGGGAGGTGGTTGGTGGTGTAGGTGGGGTGGGGTAGGTGGGGTGGTGGAGTAGGTGGGTAGTAGGTGGGGTGGTGGGGGTAGGTGGGGTGGTGGGGTAGGTGGAAGGTGGGGTAGGTGGTGGTGGAGTAGGGGTGTAGGTGGGTGGTGGAGTAGGTAAGTGGTGGGGTAGGGGTATAAGAAGGGTGGTGGGTAGGTGGGTATATATGGGTAGGTGGTGGGATAGGTGAAGGGTGGAGAGAGGAAGGGTGGGGTAAGATATAAGTGAGGGGTAGGGTGGGTGTGTGGTGGGGGGTGGGTGGGGTAGGTGGGTGGTGGGTGGTGGGGTAGGTGGGGGTGGGGTGGTGGGGGAGGTGTGGTGGGGGTGGGGTGGGTGTGGGAGTAGGTGGGGTGTGGTGGGTGGGGTAGGTGGGGTGGTGGTGTAGGTGGGTGGTGGGGTGTGTGTAGGTGGAGGTGGGTAGGTGGGGGTGGGGTGTTGGGTGGTGGGGTGGGTGGTGGGGTGGGTGGGAAGTGGGTGGGTGGGTGGGGGTAGGTGGGGTGGGGTGGTGAGTGGTGGGGTAGGTGGGTGGGGTAGGGGTGGGGTGGTGGGGTAGGTGGGTGGTGGGTAGGGTGAAAGTGTGTAGGTGGGTGTGTAGGTGGAAGGTGTCCCCAGTGCCATGCCATGGGCAGGTGGCAGGTGGTGGAGGCAGAGTGGTGGGGTGAGTGGTGGGGCAGGTGAGGGGAGCAGGTGAGTGGTGGGGTGGGTGGTGGGGTGGGTGGAGTAGGTGGTGGAGGCAGAGTGGTGGGGTAGGGTGGTGGTGGGAGTAGGTGGGTGGTGGGAGTAGGGTGGAAGGTGGGCGAGGGGTGGGAAGGTGGGAGGGGGTAGGTGGTGGGGTAGTGTGTAGGGTGAGTAGGGGTAGGAGGGTGTGTGGGGTGGGTGGTGGGGTAGGGGTGGGGTAGGGGGAGGGGTGGGTGGTGGGGTGGGTGGTGGGGTAGGTGGGTGGGGGGTAGGTGGGTGGGGTAGGTGGGTGGTGGGGTGAGTGGTAGTAGGTGGGGTGGTGGGGTAGGGGGTGGCGTGGAGAAGGTGGGTGGTGAGAGGGTGAGGGAGAATGAGGGAGAAAGGAAGGGGATAGAGGCAGGGGATGAAATGGGCAGGGGAGGGGTCCTTCCACGCACACACTTCTGAGAACTTCCACCATCCTTCCACACCAGCTTCCACACACATTGCTAATGATCCAGCCCATACGGCACAAACTGATCGCTATAAGAAATGCTCCAGTCTCAACTAGTACTATCGCAACACATGGTTATATCGTTATTTATTTCTTCTTATATGAAAGCAACACTTATTTAACCTCAATATATATGAGCAGGTCATGTTGCTTTCATATTCTTATGCAGAGTACGACGAAGGAGAAAGCCACTGGTGCTCACTGCATTACCAGTCTCCTTTGCTTAATAATGGTTAACTATCTATTCGTTCCATTTAAAGATTAAATAATATTACTAAAATGTTTTATTAATTGTTTGCATTAATTCTTACTACAGCTACAGTCAAGGTTTTATTTTATTCAGTTTTATATGTAGAACCAGTCAGTCACTGGTTTTTGTAATCAACGAAAATGCTGTCTCATTTCTTCGTGTTTTAATATTCTACGATAATAATGAATTATATTGTCATATTTTGCACACATAAACATTAATTCAATCTAAAAATTGTAAATGCAAAAACAATAATGAATTTTGTACATAAGAGAAATGATGCGATTAGACGCCGCTCAATGTTGACAGTCTGCTCAAAACCTGGCCAAATTGAAGTTTCGCCGCCAAAATTTTAAATTGGTAGTGTTTTTTTTTGTCCAAATAAAAACGTTGAATTAAAAACTCAAAATTTGAGAAGCTACTGTACTACATTTAACCCTTCAATATGTCTTCAAATATAACTATGAAGTGAGAAAGTGGTGCTAGTGCTTCTGGAAGTGGACAAGTCACTATCTAGTCCAGGAAAAGGGTGAATTTCCATGGTCTCGTAATCAACAGTCCCAAGGTTGCCATACTAGAGAGGCAAGCAACCTGTACAATTAATTATTTATTGAGAGCATGGCAGCTTAAGGGCCGAAAATATACAGTTAAGCATAATTGGGGAGTTGGTCTCTTGATTTACAAATAATATACAAGCAACATAAGGATAAAACAAGAGATATATAATAAATTGAAGGTATGAAGCTCAAACCACAGGGCATTTCAACATTGTGACAGCAAAAAGTAAGATTGACTGGGGAGGAATACACTGGTTGATTACAAGCGCTGATAATTTTTACAATGGTTGGGACTGGGCTGTTCTTATAGCGATCAGTTTGTGCTCGTGATGGGCTGGATGTGTTGTAGTGTTTCAACAGCAATTCTCGGCGACGATCTCAGGTAGTAGTAGTAGGAGCTGGTGTCGGAGGATGGTGCAGAAGTTTCTCACCAAATTTGCAGATGATACTATGGCGATGGTCAGAGAGAGCCGAGAGGGTCAGTGTGTTGAGCGCTTCTTGATATGTGGAGTGTGCGAGGAAAGCACTGTACAGTACAGGTACTGTATAAAAGTACTAGGATTAATTCCAGTCATTAGCTTAGAGTCCTGGGAACCATCAGTTTCACTATGTAAATGTCTGATTTAGAGATTTTACAAGGAAATGCAATCATTATCATCCTTTTTAATTTTTTTTTTAAGTGAAACTTAAAGTTTCACAAGCAATGAAAGTTTTATAAATATGAAGATGTTTGAAAACCAAGTGAGAATTATAAAGATGTGTGATAAACCAATTCAGAATATGAAGATGTCTATAAACCAAGAGAGAATGTGAAGATGTTTACAAACCAAGAAAGAATGTGAAGACGTTTTGATAAACCAAGAGATTATGAAGAAATTATTGTTTGTACAGGATCTGAGTAAAATTTAACATCAGTATTAGTGTTGGGCTGGCTGATACTGAAACTTTAAATTGCATTAGATAATCATTTTGACATTTTTGCTTATAACAGGTCATGTGACATTAAACATTCCTCTATGCTAGAAAGAGGTTGTCAAGGACCAGATATTGTATCAATGCTACGGCATCAGGTTATGCCAGAATCTTCAGATGCTGGATCTGCCTCCTCTCTGTTGATACAGTTGTTTGCCAGAATAACTGCTCAGGTAATTAAAATTAAATAAATATACATTAATTATTTGTATATAGAATATTTACATCTGGTCTTTAAGGTTTAATTAAATGCAGCAATATTTTTTTTTTATAGTGTTATCTTGGAGAAGAAAAACACGCAGTTTGTATTCCAGGTCACGGGAGTGTATTCAAGCAACTAGAGAGAGTGTCAAGCACAAGACTCTGTGGATGGAGTCCTCATCCGGACGTCACATGGAAGATGATCCAAAAATTGTGGTATGTGGTAGATTGAATGTTATTATTTTATACAAGAGATTACCAAATAGAATGCTATATATGCCCCTTCATAATGCAGTTTAGGTTAACAGAACTTTTTTTTCAGAGGCCACAAGATTTTATACATATTCATCACTTTATTATAAAAATTCCTTCATATAATTGCCCCATTATTCACTTCAATTTTAAGCTTTAATCATACTGTACTGTATTTCTATTTTGTATTTAATGCTTCGTGCTAATACAGTATCTCTTGTACTGTACCTTGCATGATTTTAAGTATTATTCAAATGCAGTATTTTTTTCACAGGCTACAAATTTAAATAGTCTCCTCTCCCTCACCCTCACCCTCCCTCTTCCACCCTCCCTTTTCTCCTCCCTCTTCTCCCTCTTCTCTACCCCTGTCTCTATCTTCCTTCCTCCTCCCTGCCTCACCCCATTCCTCCCTGCCTCTATCCCCTTCCTTTCTCCCCTCTACCCCATTCTCCATCCCCAACCCCACCCCACCCCACCCACACCCCAACCCAACCCAACCCCACCCCCACCCACACCCCACCCACCCACACCCCACCCCACCCCACCACCCCACCCACACCCAACCCCACCCACCCCACCACCACCCCACCCCACCCACCACCCTACCCCACCCCACCCACCCCACCACCACCCACCCCACCACCCACCACTCCACCTCCACCCACCCCCACCCACCACTCCACCACCCACCTACTCACCACCCACCCACCCCACCACTCACCTACTCCACCACCCACCTACTCCACCTCACCCACCAACCCCACCCACCCAACCCAACCCCAACCCACACACCCAACCCACCCACCCCACCCACCCCACCAACCCACCCCACCCACCCACCCCACCACCCACCCCACCACCCACCCACCCCACCCACCCACCCACCACCCACCCATCCCCACCTTCCACCCACCCACCCCACCACCCACCCACCACCCACCCACCCCACCACCCACACCTACTCCCCACCACCCACCCACCCCACCACCCACCTATCCACCACCCACCCACTCCCACCACCCACCTACCCCACCACCCACCCACCCCAACCCACCAACCAACCCAACCAACCCAACCCCACCCAACCCAACCCAACCCACCCAACCCAACCCAACCCCACCAACCCCAACCCATCCCCAACCACCCCACCCAACCAACCCACCCCACCCATCCACCAACCCACCCACCCATCCCCACACCCACTCCACCCACCCATCCACCACCCACTCCCACCACCCACCCACCCCACCACCCACCCACCCCACCACCACCTACCCCCACCAACCCACCCAACTGCACCACCCACCCACCCCACCACCACCTACTCCACCACCCACCTACCCCACCACCCACCCACACCACCCAACCACCCACTAACCAACTACCCACCAACCACACCCACCCCACCCCACCACCCAACCCCAACTCCAACCCACCCCACCCACCCAACCCCACCCACCCACCACCCACCCACCCCACCTCCACCCACCCCACCTTCCACCCACCCCACCCCCACCCACCCCACCACCCACCCACCCCACCACCCACCCCACCACCCACCCACCCCACCACCCACTCCACCACCCACCCACCCACCACCCACCCACCCCACCTCCACCCACCCCACCTCCACCCACCCCACCACCCACCTACCCCACCCCCACCCACCCCACCCAACCCCAACCACCCAATCCCCACCCAACCCACCCCAACCAACCCAACCCACCAACCCAACCCCAACCCCACCCAACCCAACCAACCCACCCAACCAACCCACCCACCCCACCCACCCACCCACCACCCACCTCCCCACCACCCACCCCAACCACCCCACCCACCCACCACCCACCCACCCCACCACCCACCCACCCCACCACCACCCACTCCACCACCCACCCACCCACCCCACCCCCACCCACCCCACCTCCACCCACTCCACCACACCCACCCACCCCCACCACCCACTACCCCACCACCCACCCACCCCACCACCCACCCACCACCACCCACCCCAATCACCACCCATCCACCCACCCACCCCAACCAACCACTCATCCCACCCAATCCCCAACCCAACCCCACCACCCACCCACCACCCACCCCACACCCACCCACTCCACCACCCACCCACCCCACCTCCACCCACCCCACCACCCACCCACTCCCCACCACCCACCCACCCCACCACCCACCTACTCCACCACCCACCCACCCCACCACCCACCACCCACCAAACCACCTACTCCACCACCCACCTCACCCACCCCACCCACCCAACCCAACCAACCAACCCCAACCCACCCCACCCCACCCTCCCACCCACCCCACCCACCCAACCCACTCCACCCCACCCACCCACCCCACCCACCCACCCCACCCTCCACCCACCCCCACCCCCACCCACCCCACCACCCACCCACCCCACCAACCATCCCACCCCACACCCACCCCACCACCACCCACCCACCACCCACCCACCCCACCACCCACCCACCCCCACCCTCCACCCACCCCACCCTCCACCCACCCACCACCCACCTACCCCAATCACACCCAGCCCCACCTTCCACCCACCCCACCACACCCACCCCACCACCCACCCACCCCACCACCCACCCCCCCAACCCACCCCAACCAACCAACCCAACCCCAACCCCAACCAACCCACCAACCCCACCACCCACCCACCCAACCACCCCACCCCACCCCAACCCAACCCACCCCCACCCCAACCCCAACCCACCAACCCACCCACCCACCCCACCCCACCCACCACCCCACCCACCCACCACCCACCCACCCACCCTCCACCCACCCCACCCTCCACCCACCCCACCCAACCCACCCACCCACCACCCACCCACCCCACCCACCCACCCACCCCACACCCACCCATCCCACCACCCACCTACCCCCACCACCCACCCCACCACCCACCCACCCCACCTCCACCTCCCCACCACCCCACCTACCCCACCACCACCTAGCCCACCACCCCACCCCACCCACCCACCCAACCAACCCAACCCCACCCACCCACCAACCAACCCCAACCAACCACCCACCCCACCACCCACCCACTCCACCAACCACCATCCCACCACCCACCCAACCCACCCACCCACCCACCACCCACCCACCCCACCACCCACCCACCCCACCTCCACCACCCCACCTACCATCCAACCCCACCACCCACCTACCCCACCCACCCACCTCCCACCCCCACCCACCCACCACCCCACCTACCCACCCACCCCACCACCCACCCACCCCACCACCCACCCACCTCACCACCCACCTACCCCACCCACCACCACCTACCCCACCCACCTACTCCCACCCACCCACCACCTAACTACCCACCACCCAACTACCTCACTTTTTTTCTTGAAGATCATACACATAGTATTATTGTGTACGATTTTATAATTTAGATGTGCTTGCACTAGCCAGAAAAATAGCAGATGAAGTTACGGGTATTTTGAAAACGCTGGAAAACTCTGTAAGACACAAATCGAACACCCAGTACCATCCATGCTGGAAATACATGAGAAACGAGACCGAACATCCAACACAGTAACTGCTGGAGAGATCAGACGAAAAAAAAAGACAATCGAACAGCAGATGTGATACATTACATGCAAGAAAGGCTTGTCCCTGAGGAGCGGCAGACAGGGTTAAGTAGATGGTGAACATTACACCAACTTGGCCACGAACCATCCAGCATACTAAACGTGCAACATTACATGCAGGTCACATCTAGGTCTTACCCCTTGTAAAGCACCCAGAGATGTAGGATCACCGTGAGTGGTGCCGGAGGAGAGGGATCACTGAGGGACCAAGCCATTGCCCACTCTGAACCCAACTCACTGAGCCCACTCTACTGTGTAAGGATGTAAATGGAATGGTGGATGGTAGCAAAGAGGTAATATGGTACTGATCAACTTAACCTAACCTACCCTAATTGTTGGAGTAATTAACTTACCTGTGTCCGAGATTAATTTAAAGTTCTATAGTGTGGCTGTCCGTCGCTAGAGTTCTGTAAAAATACTCTGCACTGCCTGGCGTCGTTAGAGTGGCGGTTATATCCAGGACATTTTTATATATTATAAAACATTTCCTGAGAGACAGTTCCAGACTTACCTACAAATACACTTATTTTTAAAAGTGTACAAAGATGGTGATAATTATACTAGACATGAATATTGCGTTGTAAATATTATGAACAAGGTAGCAGACTTAAATATATGGATCCTGGATTGATGTTTTTTGGGTTTTTTAAAGTCGAGAGGATTATGTAAAGGTGTGCAAGCCATTATCACACTACCACTGCATACTGAACCATATCACAGTAATGGATAGTAACCCGTCACACACACACACACACCTAACCCGTCACATACACACATAACCCGTCGCCCACTATTACGTCACGCCATTAACCATCACACACACACACAGACCCGTCACACACACACACACACACACTAACCGTCATACACCTAACCCGTCACGCGACTAACCCGTCACGCACTTTAACCGTCACACGCACAACCCGTCTTTACACACACACACACAGTGTCAGCAGCCCTGATCAGCCAAATCAGCTACGACCTATTGCAATCACCCCAATACCCAGCCTAATCTGTGAAAGTTTTGTGTTTGACTGGGCTTATGCTGATATTGCAAGAGTCGTAGACCCTCAACAATTTGGCAA